CAGATTTCCTCATCTCTTCCACCTTAGGATCAGTCCTGCAATACTCAGCCACTGAATCCCACTGTTAACAGCTGAACAGCACTGAGAAACTTGCACAAGAGGGGGGAAAAATAAAATATTACTCATATTTCTAGGAACTTGGCTCAGTCTCTGAGCAAATTTCTTAGTAACAGAAGTAAGAGAACAGAGAGGTATCAAGAACATCCTCCAAGCCCCCTTCTGGTAGGGAGGCTCGGGACAGAGGGAACTTATGGCTCAAGGGACTGGGCATTTACTTTAGCTAGCAGTGCCCTGCCTCCAGCTCCTTCATTTACAGGGCCAGGCACCCCAGCCTGTGAAAATAGTGTCTCAAGCCCTAAAAGCCAGCAGAGTTCCAGAGTGTTCAGGACGGAAAAACAGTAAATATGTTTTCTACGTCACGCAAAGAGCTAAACCAACCTGTTACATCTCTCCATTCAGAGCTATACTGCTTGTACTACATTTAGTTGGCTTTGGTTGTTGGGGTTTTTTTCCTTAAAGGATGTGCTTTAACCCCAGTCAGTAACTAAGTACCACACAGCCATGTACCTCCCTCCTCCCCCAGCAGAGGAGGATCAGAGGAAGAGACAAGGAAACTCATAGTTGAGAACAATTTAATAATTGGAAATAAATAATTATATTAACAATACCAACAACACTAATATTACTACTACTAATAGGTAATGAAAATAACACTACCACTAATAATAATTGTACATAATGAAAACAATGGAAAAGAAAACAAATTATACAACTGCTCACCACCCGCCGACTTATACCCAGCCAGTCCTTGAGCAGTGTGAGCCAGAGAGCAAAAGCATGCTCCGGCAAGAGAGACAGCCCCGGCCCACCCCTCCAACTTATATACCGGACATGAAATTTGATGGCATGAAATACCCCTTTAGTCAGTTTGGATCAGCTGTCCTGACTGCGCCTCCTCACAGCTCCTTGTAGAGAATAACCTGGGAACACAGATGCTGTATCAGAAACTGGAAGGGTCCTTGGCTTAATATAAACGTTCTTTAGCAACAACCAGAAACATTAGTATGCTATCGGTGTTCTCAGCACAACTAAAATACAGCCTCATACTGACTACTGTGAAGAAAATTAACTCTATCCCAACTAAAACCAGCACAAAGGACAATAGAGGTTAGGCAAAAGACACATTTGAGGAGACAAGGTTAAATTATTTTCATCTAAAAATATAAGGAGATTATTCAATAAAGTACCTTGCTATTTTTAAGGCTGATGGACACTTAAAAGGCATAACAATTTCTAGATACATTAACAGTCCCCGAGCTGGTACACCACACATAAAATAGCACACTTCCACTGCTTGGGCTACCAGATTTTTAGGCAGTAGCAAACACACAAAGTACACAGGAGAAAGGTCATAAACCACACAGCCCGAGAAGCAAGGTGCTGTGCCAACACCAGCACCCCTCCCCAGCAGATTTATCATCAGCATTTAGAACAATATTTGGAGAAATACAGTGAACTATCAGCTCACCAAGCCTACTGCAGCTAATCCAGAAATCCTGAATGCCAAAACCACCCCAATTTTCTTTTAAAAAAAAAAAAGTCCACAACACAACCCCACTAACCCTGCTTCAACCACTCTTTGTAACTTCCTACCCACCCAACCCCAGCTGCTCCTTGTACAGCTGCTATAAGGGTGAGGGCACTCAGCCATCAGCTCAGCCAATCTCGCTGGCTGCCTTATCTTAAAGGTCTTGTCTGCCAGCTCCTAAAGCTATCTGGGCACAAGTTAAGAGGCTTTCCTTGCCAGCTGGCTCAGAGGACTTAACCACCTGTATGAGTCCAGACTTCATAGATGAATACCATAAATGCTCACCTTTAATTTTATAAGTAGGCAATGTTTCATAAAAATCATAGCAGTGAGAATTTTTATAGAGTAGACTTTACCACTGGTTAAAAATATGACAGTAGGCATTCATTCTTACTGATGAGCCTTGAAGCCCAATTAGGGAGGGTAGGGAGACACACATGATGGGATAGGTTCTCTGAGCAGCCACAGTGTAATCAAGAAGCTTCACATATCTGTGTACAAAAAGAGCTTATCAGTGCTGGCAAGTTTTAGACCACACACACTCTACCTGCTCTAGTAGTAGTCCACCCTTTTTCCACAGCAGCATTCAACTTACATACCCAAAATTGGTTAGCAGCAAATAAATGCAGATAGCAGAATACTCACAGGTAGAGTGGGGGATTTCTGTGTCGTGGTGGCTCTGTGCTCCAACGGTACAAGACAACTTTTGTATTGGTGTACATTCATGAGGAACCACCTTGAGGACCGTCCGGCTCACCAGCGACAGCCAAGATACAATCCACGGGCAGAAGTTGGGAACAAGAAGTAGAGACTGCCAAAATGGAGAAGCAGGGCTTAGAAAAATACCTGTAGGCTCAGCTGTTGGCTAGCCAAAAATTAGGTGTATGACCACAGGTCAGCTAGAAGAGCTAGTTTGGTCAGCTGTTGCTAACTGTGGGATAATTCAAGTCTGTATCTAGTAGAACTAGCAGTGAGATAAACTCTCTGCAGATCTCCAAGACAGCCCCATTTGTCAGTGAAAGTGATGGTGTCTGTCCTTAGTATCTGCAGATACTAATGCTCATACAGGCTTCAGAATCCCTGAATTTAATCTAATATTTTTTTAAATTTACTGTCTTTCATAATACCATTTGATCTTCCTTGTTCCAGTTACCATATTTGTAAAATCTGAGTCCTTTTGGGGCTTTATGTGCTGAAAGCTTCACCCCTTTTCTACTCCTTTTTAAGATCATTTGGATGCAGAATGTATTCTCAATAGTAACTGCCTATGGTTATATTAATTAAAGGTAGATTTAAATAAAGGCTTGGCGTGATTATACAGGTTCCTGCTCTACCCTGCATGTATCTCTCTCTCGGGAAACTGCCTCTCCTACATACAGTTCTTTGCTAACACTTGCTACATGGGTTCAATGGCCCCAGGTAGTTTTAATATATCTCTTTTTTCTTCTTACTCTCTTCCACCAATGACACACATCGAAAGTCATGCTGTTTCGCTTACCCAGCCAAAGTCTTTAACTCAGAAGATTGTTCATTTGTTACATTTACTTCTGCTTTTTGACGCAGTGATTATGCTCTCAGAGAGACGTATTTCAAATTGCTCTCTAAGTTGCTGAAAAGATGCAGCCTGGCTTTGGAGCACTAACCACATTAACTCGGGAGTGTTAACCACATTAAACCACATTAACAGAGTGGTTGTCTGAATCTGTTCTTCATTTGAACCGTATCTCACCCTACTTTGCTTTTGCTGCATTTATTCCCTTTTAGTGAAATGGGAAATTTCTGATCAACATCTAGTAACACTCCTTCACTTGCCTTTCTCACTGTATTATCTCCCTTGCCTCAATCCATCACTTTTAGTATTCCCCAGGAGCAAATCAAATGAGACAGTAATGTTTTGTCTGCTTCAAAAGCAGTGATCTTATTTCTAGGAAAAGCATCGACCTGTCATGAAAAATAATCTATTACTCATCTCTTCAGCTGATGATGGATAGTTTCCTCTGTACCATCGACCTGACTGTGCTCCCTAGAACACCGTCTGATCAGAGCTCCTCTTCTGAGCTGGTTGTCTTGGTTGTGCTGGCAAAGAGCAGGCAACCATTAATATGCTTTTTCAGTATTTTTTCCATTCCATTTACCATGCAATGCCACCTAGCTTCCTTTTGTTTTGGACAGTGTAGGGTATCTTCCCTCAGGCAGAACAATAAACGTTTTCACATTTCTTGATGTCATCCAGATAGCTCTGTCCTCACTGACCATACACAGAATACCTGGCAGTACTTTGAGAGATTTCCAGCGCTGCATTCGCTGTCTATGGCTGGCACAATTAAACAATGGTTCCATTTCTTCATTGTTTGTTTGGATTTGCTGGGTTTGTTCTGCTTTTGCTTCTCTGACTGCTGATAACCCCTTGTGACTGTCCCTTGTGCCACTAAGCTATTTCCCAGGCCGCTGAAGGAGAAGCTATTATAACTGTGTCTTAAGCAGACAATCAGCTATTTCCTTTTGCTAACGACTTGGGGTTTTTAACGTGCTCTGACATAGAGTCTAAGAGCTCTAACTGCTACAACTTCTGACATGCTTCAAAGACAATGGAAACAGAAAATTACAGGATGGTGGAAGAGGACTCATGCGATTTTGAGAGCTTAACCACAGACATGAAACACAATCACTTCCAGTTAGCTTTATACAGCTGTTTCCCCATGTGCCATAGGGGACCTTCCCAAAGTGTCTATGGCAGCCCTAGAAAAAGGTACAGGGTAGCTCTCTGCCTTGCCTACGCTGGAGGAAGCACATGCCGGGAAGCATGGTGACGTGAAAAGCAGTTGTGCATGCTAACTTGAAGTTGTCAGAATGAAGTGACTCACTTTGAAACCTACAGTTTCATATAGTATTTTATAGAATGATAGATGGAAATGTGCTCAGCTAAGGAAAACGAGAAAGACAGGGAGAGAGGAGAGCTTTCAGATTCTGGGGTGAAATATCAAGAGAAAGAGTGAAGGTACAATTTATATTGCAGCAAAGTTAGCTCAGGATATTAGGCAACTTGGAATATGGCAAAAATTATGTCAGTTTTGTACTTTGTTATAAATTATACAGAAATGCAAAGGAGACAAGAGGTTCTGGTAATGGGTTGGGAAGTGAAACTCTTGCTAAGAAAGAGAACATCCCCACATACTACATACTCTGACTCTTGGACTGCAAACCCAAGAGCAGACATGTTTGGAAAGCCATGTTCTGCCAGTTTGGTGTGTTGAGCTACGCCAACTTCCAGTATCATCATTCAGAATAATTTCTTCAGGGTAGAATGTCACTCCATTGACTGAAAAGTTGGTTTGATTTATTTAGTGTGACAGGCGGGGGTCAGAGGACCAATCGTAAAGCAAAAGGCACAAACCTTTGCTGATTCTGTTGTCTCACAGATTTCATTCTGCTACAGCTGGTGGCTGAGCATTTCTGCCTGGCATGGCGGAGGATCAGGAGCTGACTCAGCCACACAAAGCTCAACTCGAGCCCTCCCTTCCGCAGCGCACCAGCAACACATACCGCAGTGCAGAGCACTCTCAGGCCTTGCTCAGTGGCTTGGTATCTCTCCGAGACAGCAGCATCCTCTTCGATGTAGTTCTGGTAGTGGAAGAGAAACCTATTGAGGCTCATCGCATACTTCTAGCTGCATCCTGTGACTATTTCAGGTATTCTTCAGTACGGCAGTAACAAGCATGTGTCTGAATGTTACTCAAACCTGCAACGTCCAAACCTTCTGTCTTAGCACACTGCTTCTGGATGTAATATTAGACCCATAGGATGGAGTTGAATGTGTTTCAAAATTCTAAGTATGGCTTTATTCATCTTTCTGTTGTGTCTCTCCAGAAATAAAGCACCCTGGGCTTACCTCCCCTAAACCCACTGCTTGCAGTACTTGGAGGTATATAAAGAGGACTGTCTTAACAGGTGTCTCCATAAATGCACTCGGGGTGACTTTTACCATATCCTTTGCATTATAAGACTTGACATATTGTGGGGATCATGTCATAATACACAAAAAGTCACCGGAAATGGGTCACTCCTCCATTATGTGCCTGTAGTGTGGCTCATTGTCTGTTAAATCAGTCACTCCCCTGATCAATTCGACTAGCATTTATTGGACTGAGTTTATTTTCATGGAGCAAACAGACAAATCCCAAGGCAATCCAGACAAACTTCTCACTGGAGAAAGAAGTGCTGTAGCTTAGAAAAAATTCCTACAGGCCCAAGTTCCTCTGTTTTTTCTTTCCCCCCACACCCAGAGTATCTGCCTCTGCCCACTGACTATGCATATGTACTGGGTCTGTATTTAAGTTCTTCAGCTGTGAATACTTTTTCAGGTGGCCCCTGCTGTGTTTCTGCACAATAAAGAGTAGTAATTTCTTAGGTCCTAAAGGCCTGTACTCCTTCTATCACTGGCTTACAGGAGAGAGAATCCCATAAAGGTGTCTGGCTAAGTTTTAATCTTTCTGAATATTTTTTATGTTCCCAGGACAACATAAGATAAGCAAACTGAAAATAGCTTCAATGCAAATCTGCCGTAGCATGTGCCGTTGTCTTTTTTACAGAGGAATGTTTGCAGGAGGACTGAGAGAAATGGAACAAGAAGAAGTTCATATTCATGGCATCTCCTACAATGCAATGTGTAAAATCTTGAACTTCATTTACACTTCTGAGCTGGAACTCAGTGTGAACAGTGTACAGGAAACCTTAGCTGCAGCCTGTCAGCTTCAGGTGAGGTACTGGGAGATGTGACAAAAAAAGAAGCAAGACAAAAAAGCAACCATGAAAGAAAACACGGATATCTGGTTAGATGGAGGGTTAGGGGGTGAAAAAGCATGGGCCTAATGAGAAGAATTTCTTTGGGATGCTCTGTTCTTTGGAACTAACTGTGGAAGGGTAGGAACAATGAATGAGTGCATGCATATCCAATTTGTGTCGGTGGTTTTATTACTTATAAAAGTTTACCATTTCATCTAGAGGACTGTTTTATACACCACTCACTTCTACTGACCTGCTTATGAAAGCTTCCCTCGAATAGAATACCTCTGGCCTAGGGTAAAGGACAAGGCTTGCTGCTCAGAAATTGTTGTGCTGCTCAAGCCTGCCAAGATCTTCCGCATTTAGCCTACAGGCACATAACCTCCCCTGACCCCACCACTACAGAAAATCCTACCACTGTGGTTTCTGTGCTAAGTGCAGAGTTCACGTGCCTTTAAGACAGGGATTTTTTTTCCCCTGCAGCTGCACAAGGCTTTGGTACTAAATCTTAAACTTTCTGGGTGCTTGCTTTGGTTGGTTTCTACACACTTAGCACCACTTTGTTAGCAGAGGGGCTCTTGGACAGCAGGCAGCTCTTTATTTGCCAGTGGTCCCTCCAGCCAGATACAATTTCAAATTGTATTCAGAAGACCACACTGTCTTAATTTTCCTTTTAAATGGCTTCCTGTGCTCTTCAGTGATGCAGATGTATTTGTCACAGATACAGTCTTTGATAGAGCATGTCTATAGTGCTCTGAGAGAACAATTACGGAGTGGCTTGTAAACCTGGATTTCACCATGTTTTCCATGCCTTCCATTTTCCTGTCTGCCTCCCCGGCAGCCTGCAGCTTGGTGCCACGCTAACAAACCAGGCAGCCTGGCTGTCCAGTGTCCCGTGTGACATGGAAGACACAATGCTACTGTGCCTGAAGCCAAACTCCTAGACTTGCAGTATGGTGTGTCTAGAAGATCTGTGTTATATTCATCTACATACCCATGTTGAGTTTGTTTTCTCTGGAGAATGGTGAATTGGGCACAAGTGAACATGGTGATCAGACTGAGGAGAGCAGTCGTCTTGTGGACAACTTTCTTGCAGTCATCCCAGGCTTCTGTCACCTGTTTCTTGAGTGTGAGGCAAGTGGTGTCTGAAATGAAAAATATCTCTCTTTTGCAGATTCCAGAAGTCATTAAGTTCTGTTGTGATTTTCTCATGTCCTGGGTAGATGAAGAGAACATCCTCGATGTATACAGACTAGCTGACCATTATGACTTGAGACATTTGAGTGATCAGCTGGACTCCTACATTTTGAAGAACTTTGCAGCTTTCTCAAGGACACAAGTGTACCGACAGCTACCCTTGCAGAAGGTCTACTCCCTTCTCAGCAGCAACCGTTTGGAGGTTAACTATGAGTTTGAAGTTTACGACGGGGCACTTTTTTATCATTATTCTCCAGAGCAACTGGAGACAGATCAGGTCTCCCTAATGGAGCCCCTTAAGCTACTTGAGACAGTTCGTTTTCCGCTGATGGAACCCCAGATCCTGCAAAGGCTTCATGACAAATTAAGTCCATGTCCTTTAAAAGATACAGTCGCAGATGCATTAATGTACCACAAGAATGAGTGTCTTCAGCCAATGCTTCAGAGCTCCCAGACACAGCTGAGATCAGAGTTCCAGTGTGTAGTGGGATTTGGAGGGATGCATTCTACTCCATCCATTGTCCTCAGTGATCAAGCCAAGTACTTGAACCCCTTGTTGGGAGAGTGGAGGCACTTTACAGCTGCACTAGCCCCCAGAATGTCCAACCAGGGGATTGCTGTTCTCAATAATTTTGTATATTTAATTGGCGGAGACAACAATGTAAGTGGTTTTCGAGCAGAGTCAAGGTGTTGGAGGTAAGATAAGGACAATCCTGCTATTATTTTCATTACCACCCTGTTGCCCATCTCTGAGACAGTAAGCCAGTAGAACAGTCTGTACGCTTGCTAGCTGAAGGAACTGAGCAGGGACCTCACTGAAAGAAAACACAAGAAGTAAAGAAATGAGCCTCATAGTAACAGGGAGCTTCCAGCAGAGCTTAGGGGGCAAAGCCAAGCCGAGAGGGGAGAAACAGCCACTCAGTCAAGTGTACTACATGTTCTGCTTTCTGCCTTGTAGGAGCGGGGAAGTATCAAAGGTGCAGCAGGCAGTAATGAACTAGGTTTCCTTAGAATCCTAGACTGTCTAGATGCTCTTGAAACAACATTTTGTAGAAGTTTTCTATGTGTAGTTTTGGTCCCAATAAAAGTGGATCTAGCTACCAAAAAGGATTTTTAAATAAAATGCTATTACCAGTTGATTATCAAGAATTTGTGTGTACTATAGCAGCATTCCAGAGCCCTCTTAAGTGCTTCTATGCCAGGGAAAAGAGCAGGAGGAAGGATCAGTTTTAGATCTTGATGTCCATTACATTGCAAACCCAGATACAAACCCTTTTGTCTTTATAAAGTGGTCATTTTTACTAGTTTTAGCTGAGCTGCCCTTATTTTATGTCATCCATAGTCTCATTTCACAACCAGTTTCATCTGTAACTAAAATACCAGATAGGTATTTTGAAAAATATCTGAAAATCAATCATGAACTTCACTTTGAGCAGCAGATATTTGGGGAAAAGAATCAAAGAACCCATGACATATATATGCCCTTCTTGGCCTCTTGAAGATCCAGATTTAGTCTTTGTGCTATTTTTAGACTGTTTTACCTTGTAGAATGGCTTTGTGCAACCAGAGACTTTGATATATAACCTGACAGAAGTGTACAAGATAATGGAAAACCTAGGCTTTTACAGTATGATTATATCAGCTAAAATATATCTTCTAAAAATAGAATAAAACAACTTTGCTAATAATAAAATGCTGACAAGGCCAAATTTCACTCGACTTACAGCTGAGCTCAATTTCAGCCAAAGGCAGTACAGTAACCCACATCTGTGGTGCTGTCTGGTATTCCAGCAATGATTCTGAGGCTGTATAAATAACTTTCTTTGATCCCATTCTTTTACAAGGTATGACCCGCGACACAACAAGTGGTTCCAGATCCAGTCCCTACAGCAAGAGCATGCTGACCTCAGTGTCTGTGTTGTGGACAACTATATATATGCTGTCGCAGGACGAGATTACCATGAAGACCTGAGGGAGGTGGAGAGGTATGACCCTAAAAGCAACACTTGGGAATATGTGACACCTCTGAAGAAGGAGGTAAGGAGTGCATTAGCCACACACGCTACTACATTTCCCCAGTTCCTGATTTCATCTTTTCAGATGCTTTTTTCATGTGTAGCATTAAATGTGCTGATATTCAGATGGGGAACAGCTTCTGTATATGAGATAAAAGAATATCAGGAAAGGAGAATAACAATACATGTAAATTCCATTTTGAGGTTAAATGCTTATTTTTCCTGTTTTCTTGTTGTTTTCCCCTGCACCTTTATTGTATTAATCCTTAAAACCATTTAAAATTGAGCACATTCAGGTAAACTGTGAGCCACAATACTACAAGCTTCTTGCTTACAGTCCTGACAGCATGCTTTATGCCTGATCAGAAAAGATAAAGACCCAGTAATAACGTACATCAGTTTCTATAGACTAGTTAGATCCTGGACACATAACTGAGATTGGGTAACAAGTTCTGGTAAAAATAGCTTACGTGAGGCAGAGTCACATCTCAGTCAGCTGACATTAGACCATTACTCATTTGAAGTATGTGAGTAAATAGCTATCTTTTGTCATCAGTACAGTTTATCCTTCTAGAATGGCAATTGCTAAACTAGCCGTCGTGACCCTAAGAACCAGGAAATGGCGTAGTGACATGGGAATTGGCATTATGAGTGGAAAGATTTGTTCCAACTTCTAATACAGCTAAAAAAGGGAAAAATTTCCATTTTCAGGTGACAATTGTTGCAAAGGAGGAAGATAAATACAAACAACTGCTTGATGAATCTTGGCTAGGAAAGAAAACTAAAACCCTAAGTAATCCTTCAAGAAACTATGCTGATTTCCCCTACACCTTTTAAAAGTTTTGGGTCAAGTGACCAGCACAAAATAATATTTGTGATTTCATAATGCCTCTGAATTGAAAGCCTCAGGACACTTCAAAAATACAAATAATACTGCTGTTATGCAAAAGGTATGCAGAGAGAGAAGTGGATAAACAGCTTATGTGAGGTCACAAATAATAAATGTCTGTCAATGCCAAGAATATAAAAAGCTTTAAGATCCAACTGAGTGCTACTAAGTAGGATATGTTGTATTCCTGGTAACATGACTTGTACAAGACAAATCTCCCAACAGAATTGCTTTCAAGTAGACTAGGGAGAAGAGTAATAGTATGAATGATTTTCTAACCAAGGAACAATAAAGAATGAGAACCCACTGCAGTTCTGGAAGATTTAGATATTCTAGCATATTTCATTCAGAAATTCATACTTACAGCACAATCACCTAGAAAGGAATTGTGTATAAGAAAATCCTTCAGGTGTTGATATCTGCATAACTCCTGAAGAATGTCACTCCCTTAATGTCTATTCCTTACTTTGAAACTGGGAGAAATATATAAATCCAGCCCTCAACCCCTCGCTTTCCCATGTGGTGATACAGGTATATGCACATGCTGGAGCAGCACTGGATGGGAAAATGTATATTACCTGTGGGAGGAGAGGAGAAGACTACTTGAAGGAGCTGCAGTGTTACGACCCAAAGACTGACCGCTGGGACGTTTTAGCAGATGGTCCAGTGAGACGTGCTTGGCATGGGATGGCTGCACTGCTAGGAAAACTCTATGTAATTGGAGGAAGCAACAATGATTCTGGCTACAGAAGGGATGTTCACCAGGTGAGAGCATGTCATACCTGTGTCTTTCTTGGAAGAGGCTCTTTCTTACGGATGCTTGCACTCTGATGTAATGCCTTTCACCTACTAAGTATGCCAATAGAGCCATCTGCCCAGCAACAGCTACTGCACCAGCTCTCCCCCACTCAACTGCAGAACTTGCAGTGATTTATTTACTGCTGTCGGTCTTGAATGCATTGCCTAACCCACAAAGCATTAAAGCTGTAGCACTTGGAATTCCTAGCACATCAAGTAAATTTACTTTGCGTTGTCTTCTCACATGCATTTTTTTTCCTGAGTCAAGGACTTCTGAATTACCAGCGTGTAATTGCAGGACAGAGTTGTTCAGGATATGTTGGATGGCAACTGTATAATGCAATTAAATGTACAATACCTGATGATAAGTGATGGCTGGCGAGAATTCTCTCGAGTCTTATTGCAGCTTCTAGAACTGCTAAAGATGTGAAAAGAAGACACAAAAAGTAATTGCTCTTATAAAGCTAATCAAGATGGCAGAATTAAATCTAGCTGAAAGTCTATCTGAATGATAAAAAGGTGCTTGCAAATAAAAGCAGTTAGCCAAGTAGGTACCCAGTGAAATCCAAAACTCCCCAGAATACGGTGCAGAGACAACTTAGCAGATTTGTCACATTTGTATGTTCCAGCACATTTTTTACTAATGCAAACAGATGCATTATGTCTGAGCTTGTATTAGCATTTGTCCACATCTTTTACAGTTTTGTATACATTTTTTGAATGGCATACAGCTGTCACCCCAGCAGCAGGGTCAGAAGCTGTGATTCAAAGCTATATGGCAACTGCCGGTTTTCTGCTGAGTACTGTATTTGTACTACATAGTGATATGCTCTCTCCATTATCAACACCCTGTCAAAAGACTGATGATACTGCATGCCTTCCTGAAGAGCTTGCCATATGGCCAGGCTCTCTCACTAAGATGCAAGTTCGATTTTGGCTAATTCTCTTTCCTTTTTTTACAGGTTGCCTGCTATAGGCCAAGCACTGATCAGTGGACAAATGTATGTCCACTTCCTGCGGGACATGGAGAGCCAGGTATTGCAGTCTTAGACAACAGGATCTATGTCTTGGGTGGCAGATCCCACAACAGAGGAATCCGCATGGACTATGTCCACATTTATGATGCAGAGAGAGACTGTTGGGAGGAAGGACCCCAGTTGGAGGATGATATTTCTGGGATGGCTGCCTGTGTCCTCACTTTGCCCAGGGCTATTTTAATGGAAACAGAGAAATGGTTCTCAGAATGGCATGCAGACCGCGTGAAGTATCACCTTGACTTTCCATCAGAAGTTATGAGCGTATCAGACTGGGAGGAATTTGACAATTCAAGTGAAGATTAGAAAACTTTAATATTTATTTTTTGCCAGTGAATGACGAAATTAACGCTTGGAGAAAATATTTAGAGATTTTATATGTCTTTCTTATATACATAAATCAGTATTTAAATGTTTGAAAAATAAGTGTCCTGCACAAAATGGCATTCACAGTCAATATCTGCCCATCTGCAAGTGTTCTGCACAAAATGCCACTTAGAGTCAGTATCTGCCCACCTGCCAGAAAGCAGCGTTTTTAAAGTAACCACGGAACTGCCATTTTCCCCCAGTTATAGAGGTTCTTTTTCTGTGGAGGAGATTCTTCTCAATCTTCAGCATGGACAAAAAAGGCTCGGCTTGACTAGCTTCTTTCCTTCCAGCTTTTAGCTTGAAATAGCTTTTTAAGATTTTTTTTTTCTTTATTTTTTGGGAATAAAACTTACTAGCCAGCTTGCACAGGAAGGTAACGCTTATTGTCTCCCTCCTGTGCCAGGTGTCAGACAGCTTGATTGGGTTTTCAGCAAGACTGAAAGAAGAACGGTAGCAAGAAAGTCTGAACCTTCATCTCATCTGGGCATGCAGCCATCCTTGTAACTGGGTTCGAGCGCGAACTGACACCCACTCCTGAACTTCTGTACTGCAGGTTCTGTCAACACAGTGGAAAGAAGATTTCTAGAAAAAACTCTGTACAGACTATGGCAATCTCATCATTCAGCTGTCAGACACATTTGTTCATGAGCATAAATCAATAAATCCTTGTCAGAACTTTTTTCTTTTTAATGACCGTCTCAGTTTTATTGACCACGGAGTGTGAAAGTTAGTGAGTTTAATTAGATCCTGTAATACTACACGAGTATCAGTGAAGTTACACCAGCCTGGGAGATGGGCAGGTTTTTTCATTCTCTTATTATATGCTTTAGAAGAGGATAAAGAGAGCAGAGATTAGTTTGCCACAGCATAAGAGAAAAACACAGTAAGGTGATAACTGAGGTACTGAAGATTACACTGGTCCAAGACCCTGCAGTAGCTGAAGTAATGCCAGGAACATAATACAGAATTACTACAGCTCAGAAAGATAAAGCATAGTAAATCCTTCCTTCATGAGGCCTTAAAATAATTGGCTTCTGGCCACCATCTTGCTTAGCATCAGTTTAGAAGCTGATTTAAAGTCAGAATCAGTGGGATACCTGTACAGTATGGGATCCTTGCTCTTGGAGGGGCGGGAAGTAATCAATGCCACCAGAAAATCGTGACAACTGCCAAAAGCTTTCAAATCTTTTAGCAGTAATGGGGTTGCAGGAGAAGGGCAAAACCAAAGTGACAATTGGAATGACACGACACTAGTCAAGTATCATCACATCATGACAGATACTGTGCACGTTGACCTGCCACTCCAGAGGAACGGAAGAAGTTCCTGGATATTACTGTTACTTAGTGATACGTTTTTTATGGAAACAAAGATGATTTCAAAATGGACCTCGATGACTCTGCTTTAGTAGACTGGGCTTCAGCAAAAGATTCAAGAGTATTTGCACACCTCATTTAATAAGCTCAACAGCTTTTTCTTGGTAAGAGGAGCATTTGTTGGATTTTTCTCCCTGGCACTGTTAGTTTTTACCTCAGTCTCTGACCCTTTGCCAGTAGGCAAGTGAAACAAAAGACCTGGTAACTGCAGGAACCGCTGTATATATATATATATATGAGCTTCTTCAGAAAATGGTTTTGATAATGAACTCTGAACTGCACGTAGAGGCTGGGAGTGCAGACTTCATTATACTGCACTACTGGAGGCTGACGAGTATTCCTGTTTTGCCTACGGAGTTACTTTCAATGTGTGGTAATCAAACATAGCCCTCAGATGTAAGGGCAGATCTCTGTGACCTGGACATCACTAGAACCACTCCTTCCAGATTGCAAGTGTTGCAGTGGCAATTTGTTTTGTCTGCCGACAACAACTGATTCAAGACTTCTACAGGTCCAGGTCATATTCTAGACCCAGCTGTTCTAATGAAACCAGACATCTAACTCAAGTCTAATGCTTGCAGTGCATTTTCCATTTTAACTAGCACTCCCCAACAGACCAGTGATGCCCTATGTTATACCAGTGAAAATGTTATTTACCCTTTTTCATGATAAAAAAAAGTGCAATCATTCTTTGGCTTCTTTTCCTATGTATACCACTAGAGGGTATTACTTACTATTACAAATAACCTAGCTGATAGGTAATTCTTAGATTACGTAGGAGAATACAAGATATTCATAAGTAATTATTGAGCTAAAAAAACATCTTGAGAAAACTCATGGGGGCTTTTTTTCCCAACTTCTACCCTATCGCTCCTGTGTATGAATACTGATTTTTAAGATAGTCAGGTGATCCGTTTTTCCACTTACCAGTATATGCAATTCTGTGATCGCAGTATTTATTAAATCTTGCAGTTGGATGCTGTGCAAGCAAATCAGTAAGGCTTAGAATGCAGTTATAAGGAAATTACATTTCCTTAAAACAGATCATCTCCCTTAGGGAAAAGTGATGCATTTTTTCTATTTTTTTTTTTAGGTACAGGTATAATACCCCTAAGTTACATGTACTAAACCTGAGGGGAGGTGGTATGTATTTTGATTTGATAAAAACAAAACTTCTGTTGCTTTCATCCCCAAAATTTCTTTTCATCTGAGCATAACGTGACTATTGAAAGTTATGGTATGCACTCTTTTACTTGCATGTATTTTGTCTAGGTAAAAAACCGCAGTTTAGTTTAGCTATGCTCAAACCATCCTAATCATTTAGCAGTAGCTGGTTTTAGTCCGGCACGTACCTTTTCAAACTAACACAGAGGCTAAACAATAATAAAATTGCTTTGCTTTACAATTGACAATTCTATCTAACTTGGCAGATATAAAATGCTTTGTTGTTCATGTTAACTAGTTACCTATATAATGAAATTGCAGGAGAGATTGCAGATTGATATGCAGAGCTATAATTATGATTGACTGGTTTTCCTATCAAGAATGATGCTTCAGGAATTTAGCCTTCAAGAGCCCACTTAAACTTTGTGTTATCTTAAGAAAAACATCTACTCATAAGGGTTTTTAGGCTCATTCCATTTTTTTTTTAAATTTATAAATATTCTGATTTCCTAAATGTGTCAGTCTTGTGTCTTACAGTAAAAAGCATTCATTTTTTACAGTGAGTCCTCAGAAACAGCATAGCACGAGACATTGTGGGCAGCTGGACAATGAATTAAGAAAGCTTTAAGTTACTTCTGGTATGTAAGAGAACAGCCAAACAACTCTTCCAAAACTGAGTGATCAAAATACCAACACTTAAACTGCTGATACATTAGGAAGTCCAGAAGAATAATAACCAGGTTTCTTGATGATCTATTTTCCTATTTCCTGCCAGCACAGAGGTAAAGCTGTATAGGCATGCTCGCTAGATTTGTAATTAGCGGACTTGTAAGTATTTCAGGCTTCCACATTTGGACAAGCAATTCTAATTGCTTCAGTTTTTGTTTCGTAAGTGTTTTCACTACTGTATTTCTTCTCCAGCTGTCTGCCTCCAAATCCAACATATCCTTTTCTATTCCCTCATGGTTTAAATGAGGATCATTAATTTTGCATTGGAAGCATACCCAGTACTTGATTTGAAACAAATAAGGATTCTCATTCTATTGCCTTGACAGAAATTTACTTCTTACTTAGAGACCAGCCACATGTACAATTTATTTGGCATTCAGCCCAAATGATGGGGTCAGAAGCTTCTGGTGAAAGGAAGAAGGAGCAGCTGGGCATGGAGAAAGAAGGACGGGACCTTCTCAAGGGAATATTCAGCCAACTGAGTTTTTATTTCATCAGCAGCTGATGAACTTGAAGAGCTCACCACCTCCTCAGTTGTGCTACAAGTAATTGGCCGTGCTCTGAGGGTGGAAAGTTCCAACAGGTAAGAGAAAGGGCATAAATGTATTTACATATAATAAAAAGGTAAAGTAGTACCATACATTTCTCCATTCTTCCTAAAACAAATGCAGTTGTAGGGACATAATACACCTGAAATGATTGTAGTGTGGGAAGGTGAAGCCCAGTCTTATCAGCTAACATTAGTGACCTTGAACAAGTCACCTTTTTCTCATATCTAAGTAGAAAGTGGGTTCTTTTATGTAGATGATCTGGCCGAGTTCACCCACAGTTACTGAAACTGAGGGGGGAATTCCTTGAAGGATGCACACAGCCTGCACAAATGCAAGTCAGAACAGCTGATTGTGGCAGTTTCTCGCAAACTGAAAACCTCTCCATGACTTAGAATCCTCTCTGTGTGGGAAGGGGGTGTGATGGGGCTGTTTTTCCACCATCAGTCCAGCCCCATGCAGTACAACACAAAAAATCATTTATAATTAAATACTATTTATTCCTGATGTTTCAATTCCTTTGAGATTTTAGTATCATCTGTAAGAAATGGAGGCAAAAATCACTCTGTATTTGACCTACTGCATTTGATTTTGATTAGACAAAAAATACAACTCAATAAAATGCAGCAAAAGGAATTTTAACTTCCTTTTTATATACTGTGTGTACTAATTCTGCTGCTAACTTCTGGCTTTTGTAATTATTTTTAAATATTATTGAGCATGTTATTGCAAGTCCATGTACTATCTTTTAATCTCTGTATTTTGGCTATGGCCAAACAGAAAATGATCCAAACGCATTCAAATGGCAGAAGAAAACATAATAACTTTCATAATCTATTGTAGCCTGTCTACATGTGTTTAAGACTGACTCTTATTGGCAAATACAAGCACTTAAACCAGTAGGAATGGATCAAAGGTATAGCTATTATGTAAGCTTCCATAGCAATGGAAGAAAGATTTTTGCATAGGTGTGAATTTTCAGGCCGTACTGTTCATCTCTCAGTGTACTATTTTGCTAGTATTGCTGTACACGGCTAAACAGCTGTTTTTTCCACCCAGGAGATGGCTGAACGTCAGCGGCTGGTAAAGCGATACCTGTACACGTATTCAGGGCCTACTTCACGATCCTGTTGTGTTAGTGACGTCAGACTTTCCTGGATGATTTTGTCTAGAACGACACTGGATGAGTCTTCCGTCTCAGATGATCTGAACCCTGCTGAATGTCTGCTGACACACAGCCCGTATGTTCCACTCCAAACACCTCGCTTGGCACCAGTTGCCAGTGTAAGAAGAACAAAGATTTAAAAAATTCCCCCGTTGTGACTGAGCTTTTGGAAAAGGCAGAATTTGAAAGGAAGATGGCAAAGCTGGAATAAGACTGCACAACA